TTTAATTTAATTCCTTTGATACTCTTGTTCTGATTCAAATACACCTAAGAAATCCACAAAAAATTTATTTTTTATATGAAATAATTATTTTCACTTAAACGCGAATCTGACATCCAAAAAACTTGACAGGAAATAATTCCCGTTCAAGAAAAATCCCCCAAAAAGTGTTTTTACAAAAAAAGTATTGTGAGAATACGGACGAATAATGTCAAGGCCCTCTAACCGTCAGATCTGTTAGACCTGCTCACTTTGTCACTGGATGGCTTAATTTAACAGAACCCGAGTGGTAAGATTCTGTGTGGGGTTGTGCATAAGGAATATATACTCGACTACGAAACTCCTTAATATAAAAATTAACAATTTAATCACAGAAGACCAAAATAACAAGGACAAGTAAATAAACAACAAAACATAAAACATATGTCTACTCTATGACTATAATCTGTGTTAGTGGAGAGAGAGAGTTTACATGAAATCATATTACCTCGGTGTACATGATACGAATAGTCGGTGGTTGTTGGCTAGGAATGCTCTGGTCCCAATTCAAGAAGGAGAGACTGTATGTGGCATGTTCTATCGGGGTGAACTGCCTTCCTATGGAAAGGTCTGGGAAGAAATGCCTCGAGTGTATGTAAACCTGCCCTTTTATCCCCGAATATTACCTCATCTTTTTCCCAGAAATGTTGTGTCATTGGACCAGGTGGTGTGCAAAATTCTAAGATAAGAGGTGTGGAGGAAAAAAGCAAAACATCCTCAGTTCTTGTAAAATGTAGCGCAATAGAGCAGTTTTTGCAGGATGTTGAAGTTTTGTAACCTTTTTAGGTTATATTAATTTTATTCCAAATTTTATCATTTTTCTCATTTTTAACTATTGTAAAAATAAAAGTTGAATAATTGAAATTAATACATATTTTTTTAATGTGGAAATGACGCAAATTGGAAAGGGGTCATCCAGATTATCACACCATGATACAAAGTTCTTGCAATTATATTTACAAATTTACACTATTTTAACAGCGAAAGAACTCACTCACTGAAACTCATCTGCAATTCTGCCATGTTAGTCTGTTCACACANGCTGGAGTTTGCTTTCCTGGGAAGTTCTCATGTACGCTTCAGGGAAATATTGGTCTAAAGCATGAGGAGATCTAACTTACCGCATCTGTTCAAATATAACACAATATTGTCGATTTTTATGCTATTAAATTACGAGGAGGCCGAAAAAAAGGTATCGGAAAAAATTCTACTGAACAAAAATCAAAAAAATCCTGTTGATGTTATAAAAAGCATCCAATACCGTTTTAAAAAATTTTACCCAAGTCAAATAGGTCAAATAGAAGTTTAGAACGATTTAATTAATTTGATTTAAAAACTCCCAGTCAAAAACAATAGCGAAATTAATTACCTAATTAATAAATCGTCATAAAATATTTTCGCAGCAAAAATAATTCATGAAATTTGCACAGATCATAGATAACGATGTATATATGCTGATTCATATATTTTCAGAAAAGTTATGTCAAGGCTTTTTAATGGACCCTTAAAGTCAATGCGTGTTAATTAATTAATATTAAATCTGTAAACATGTTTAATAAAAAAAGAAATAAAAGAATTATTTTTTGAGTTAAAAAAGTAATGCTAGTTTAAATTATTAGGAACCACTTCAAGTTTTAAAAAGATTTTTCCACTCTGGACTGTCAATCCAATGATAAACATAAAAGTTTTCAAATACTGGTAATATTGAGAAAAGCTTAGACTTCACTTCTTCGATTAAAATGGTAAAATAAATGTCTTTAAAAATTGGCTTATTTTATTTTTTTAACAAAAGCAGATCTAAAATTAAAAATTTTCAGCTTTCTTAGCTCAAAATTTTTCATTTTAGACAGGGCTGTGGAGTCGGAGTCGGAGTCAGAGTCGTGGAGTTTTGGTGTTTTAGCCAAAGTCAAAGTCGGAGTTGGATGATAAGGAAAAGTCGGAGTCGGAATCAAAGTTGGAGTCGGTAGATTTTTACGTGACTCCACAGCCCTGATTTTAGATCTGCTTTTGTTAAAAAAGAAACACAAGTGATTGGAAAATTCGTTGAATTCGTTTTATTTATTGCTCTCGAAAACCATAAACGAATGCATTATGAAATACAGCTGGAAAAATCCTCATAAGCACTGTCACAAAATAAAACATGTAAAATTATTACAAATAAAAACGATTTAAAAGTTAACGTAAGGTATAATGTAACAGGAGTATTTTAACAAAAGAAAACTGTTTAATTCTAAGCATATTTATTTCATGTCATTTAGCTTTTTCCAAGTAGCTACTATAATAATTAATTTTCTGTAATGGATGTTTATTAATGTTTTCTTTTATTTTTATGATTTGTTATTTATTATTATTAGTTTACTACGAGTGTAATAAATTAACGAGACTTATTGTATTTATGTAATTCCTATATGCAAAAAGGTACGATTTTGTTAGGCTAAAAGTTTAAGAAAATGTTTTTTATATGCCCCTGTAAATAAAATCTTATATTATTTGACTAGAGGTTACACCAGTGTAAAATTCTTATTAATATCTGATAGTCATAATAAGTTAATAATAATTATTATTAATTTATTAATTAGTAATTAAGTTTTTCATTTATTAAATATAAGAAATATAAATACTACTTTACAAAAATGAAACTTTGCATTTTGCCCTTTCTTTTTTTGCCGTTCACACCATCAGCACTCCTTAAATAATTCACAAAACTTCAGAGACGACCTTTCTTCTGAGGGTACTGCTTCAGCAAAAGAATATAAAAAAAAAGTTAAGCGTCCACTTTTAAGTTTTATCTTTGTAAAGTCGTATTTATAATTTTTATATTTATTAAATGTGAATACCTCCGGCCATGTACTGTATTTCTATTTGTGTGAACCGCCGGGGAAATCGCAGACCGTTTCACCTCCCTTTCCGGCAACAGGTCGTTAAACCTGCTCACTTGTCAAGATGGCTAAATTACTATTACTGGCGCCAAGGTTCGGGACTCTCATATGTCGGTCAAGTGGAGGGAGAGTATTCGGGGTCATCGATAAGGCGAAGGCAGTATACGAGTAAAGGAAGATACCATATAACAATTAAAACAAGTTTATTCAAATTAGACAAGATCGACATGAATTACAAACACTAATTTCTTCAATTAATCGACTAAGAGCTCGAGAGAGAGTTTACATGGGTTTCCATACATCTTTGTAGGTTTCCACGGCGATTCAAGTCCACTAAGGCAAATAGATATCCAATAAATAATGTTTTTAAGGTAACCCATTTTTAGCACAAGTATAAAAGTTCGCGACTGTGGGGATGGACGATTTCGATGTTCGGAGCTACGGCGGGTTCAATGATTTTCTTCTTACGGTTGGCGATGACGTTGGTCTGACTTTCGTTATGTGACTCTTCCGAAAGGGGAAGGAAGCATCTTTTATAGCTTTTTGCTGGGAAAATCGGTCACATGATCGGTTGTTATAAAAGATAAAGGTTATAGGTGTTCCCGGGACCAAAACAAGTGACGAAATTTGGTAGCTAACTATAAAATTTTATGCAAGTCGAGCTGCAGGCTGTGTGGGAACAATAGAATGTTGATAGTTATGGGAGGAAAGTTTCAAATGTTCTCAGCTAAGATTGTTTTTTTTTGTCAATCCTTTATATAACAAAAGTGAAAATAATTAAATTTTTTCGGTTATAAAATTCCAGATCTCACATTAGTTTTTTATTTAAAAAGTTCTTTCATATTTCATAAGACTACGTGCAATGTAAGAAAACAATATTCCAGATATTTGTTATTGCATAACATAGAAAAATATTCAACNTTCACACCATCAGCACTCCTTAAATAATTCACAAAACTTCAGAGACGACCTTTCTTCTGAGGCTATTGCTTCAGCAAAAGAATGTAAAACAAGTAAAGCGTCCACTTTTAAGTTTTATCTTTGTAAAGTCGTATTTATAATTTTTATATTTATTAAATGTGAATACCTCCGGCCATGTACTGTATTTCTATTTGTGTGAACCGCCGGGGAAATCGCAGACCGTTTCACCTCCCTTTCCGGCAACAGGTCGTTAAACCTGCTCACTTGTCAAGATGGCTAAATTACTATTACTGGCGCCAAGGTTCGGGACTCTCATATGTCGGTCAAGTGGAGGGAGAGTATTCGGGGTCATCGATAAGGCGAAGGCAGTATACGAGTAAAGGAAGATACCATATAACAATTAAAACAAGTTTATTCAAATTAGACAAGATCGACATGAATTACAAACACTAATTTCTTCAATTAATCGACTAAGAGCTCGAGAGAGAGTTTACATGGGTTTCCATACATCTTTGTAGGTTTCCACGGCGATTCAAGTCCACTAAGGCAAATAGATATCCAATAAATAATGTTTTTAAGGTAACCCATTTTTAGCACAAGTATAAAAGTTCGCGACTGTGGGGATGGACGATTTCGATGTTCGGAGCTACGGCGGGTTCAATGATTTTCTTCTTACGGTTGGCGATGACGTTGGTCTGACTTTCGTTATGTGACTCTTCCGAAAGGGGAAGGAAGCATCTTTTATAGCTTTTTGCTGGGAAAATCGGTCACATGATCGGTTGTTATAAAAGATAAAGGTTATAGGTGTTCCCGGGACCAAAACAAGTGACGAAATTTGGTAGCTAACTATAAAATTTTATGCAAGTCGAGCTGCAGGCTGTGTGGGAACAATAGAATGTTGATAGTTATGGGAGGAAAGTTTCAAATGTTCTCAGCTAAGATTGTTTTTTTTTGTCAATCCTTTATATAACAAAAGTGAAAATAATTAAATTTTTTCGGTTATAAAATTCCAGATCTCACATTAGTTTTTTATTTAAAAAGTTCTTTCATATTTCATAAGACTACGTGCAATGTAAGAAAACAATATTCCAGATATTTGTTATTGCATAACATAGAAAAATATTCAACTTAATCAGATTTTTTAATACAAATTGATTAACTTACTTCTGAAGTAAATCCCCTAGATATTCTGAAGTGTGATATTTTGAAGTCTCATATAGATCTTCTTCTTTTAACAATCGCTTTGATCCTTTGATTATTATCGGAAAAATCCAACTGAAAATAAATAATTCATATATTAGTAGTGTTAAAAAAATTCCTTATACTGAATGTACGAATATTGCCATAATTGTACTAATATGACTATACAAATTATTTATGACAATCGCAGTGATTTTTTTTTCTTAAAGATCGAATGGCAAAAAGCAATTTGATTAGATGAGTGTTTTGAATTTTTTATCCTTATTATTCTCCATCTTTATAAACCTGTTTGATATATTTTTCTGAAATAGTTTAGTATAGGATGTAAATATGTATTAGGAATAATCCTCATATTATATAAATTCAGCAGTTACAAATGATAAAATTTATCAGGTTTACTCTTAAGGTTTATTTCCTATTTTCAAATCTCCACTATAGCAAGATATCCATTCTTTTAAAACCTCGTTGAAATGAAATTTTTCAATAAATAAAACAATTAATAATTCTGAAAGAAAAACTTTTCATAAAAAGTTAAAAAATAAAATTCTAGTTTTCACTTTTTGCAACAAACATTGTTAAATTTTTGAAAAATTATTCCCACAGTACAATATACAGTCACATTTGTATTTGACTTAACTTAATACTAAGGAAGAAGGGAGTTTTGTAAAAATGAAAATAAAACAACTAGCAAACTACTAACCTACACAGTGGTGGGTCTATAGTTTCTATATTACTACTCTAATATTTTCGTTGGATTAAATTAACAAAGCTTTTTCCTCTGATCTTTAAAGATAAAATGTACTGTACATGAAAATTTTAACACAAACCTGATGTTAATGGATGTAACTTGAGTTAAATTATAGATTTGAAATTTGATATGTTTATTATTTTGCATTTAGGTATCAAAATACAAAAAAATTGAAGGTAAGAACTCATTTCTTCCAAGCATATTGTTAGATTTTTGACAAAAATGAAAAAATTCAAAAATATAATTGTAGTTATTCATGCAATGTTTATATTTTACCAGTTTAAGAATAGTGATGGCATTTGTGTGATGCCACAGGAACAAACTAGTTTATTGATACAACAGAAGCAAGGATGTTTTAAATCCTCATTAAAACTTTACAAAGTGAAAGCGATTAACTATTACGGCTGTATAATTTTAAAAGTTTTGTATAAATATATCTTTTTTATATATACGAGTTGATGCTAGAGGATGACAAAATTGAAGTTGAAACTTTAAATCTTGAGTAGTATACTCACATTAGTTGTGTACCCTTTCAATGTATAAACCTTCTGCTTCCGCGACTTCCAATGATTATATCAGTGCATCAGGGCATCATCTCTAAGCTTCTACTCAGCGGCTTCGTCGTTTATTTCTTCACAATATAAACCAAATCGAAACGGTGTCCTTTCAGAGCCAGACTTGATTTTAGGAAAAAGATAAAAATCACATGGAGCTAGGTCAGGAAAATGCAGTGGGTATTTAAGTAGTGTGTCTCCCTTCTTGGCCAATAACTGTTTCACTGACAGAGTTGAATGAACTGGTACGTTGTCCTGATAAAGGATGTAGCCATTTTTCCAGAAGTTTCATCGCTTTCTTCTGACCATTTCTTACATAGACTCCAGAACTTTTTTGTAGTAGTATTGGTTTACAATTTCTTTCACTTTTCGCACATTTTTTTCGGTTTTTGATTTGCTGGGCCGTCTAGATTGTTTATCCTCTTTCATATTATCTCGGCTTTTAGAAAATCTCTTGTGTCATTCTAACAGACGTGCACAAGAAAGATATGTGTCTTTGTACGTTTCACGTAGCAGGTTATAAAAATCATTGGAGATTTTTTTCAATTTCACTAAAGATTTTATGGTTGATAAGCTGTTTCACCAAAGATTTTATTTTCAAGCTCGTCGTTTTGCCGACATGCGCTAACAACACGTCTACTTGCTGCAAACATTTACAATAATCTAATAGTGGTTGCAAGTGGAGACGTACTGTGCTTATTCTTACTTGCTCAAAGTCGTTTATCCATCCACTCACTCTGGCTCACGTGCGGTTATTTTGTACAGGCGATCACAGTCTCTTTATTTTCTAGACACACCAGGTATTCCTTCATTTATAAAGAAAAAAAGTTATTTGTGTATCGCGTTATCGGGACTATCGTTTTTAGATCAAACAAAAAAAAAATCAATCTACTTTTGTGTGCTGTTGTTATATATATTTGCCTGGGTGAGCAGTAAGCAAGCATAGTCTTCTGGGATGAATTTGCAGTTTTGGTCTGAGTATTAAAAAAATTCACGTTAGATTTTTATTTATTTATTTTTTTTTTGGTGTGACAATGATCAGTAGAACCATTGCGTGTGTAAAAGTTATTTGTTAGAAAATATAATTGACTCTCAGATAAGATGTAATCAAAAAACGCTAAATCTTTAAAGCTTAATAACAAAAAGGTGTTTTTAGATTTTTGGGTGCTGTTTATTGAAATTTAAAATCTACAGTTTCTTCATGTTTTTGCAGTTTGGTGAATTTCGGTTAAACTATGGTAAAGTTATCCAACTTTAATTAAAAAACTTGTTTTTTGAATACGGATAAGTTTTGCAATTAGAAGAGTTTTGATTTTCTCAATGTAACTTACTTATTAACTAATTTTAAATTGATTAGAACTTAAACAAGTATCAATTCTTTGAAGTATTTTTGTAATTTCTCTGTTTTCAACTTTAATTTAAAAAATATGAAATAATAACAGTTTATTAACGTTTATTACAGTTAAATAATATATAATTATGGTCTTCGATTTAAATTAAAAAATAAATTGAAATCAAAGCAATTAAAACATAATATTTAGGGAATTGTGAAAGTGCTTATTGTCAGTATTTATTGTTCGGCTATGTTTAATGCTAGAAGTGAGAGTAGAGTATCTATTCATAGCACTTCTTCATAAAGTGTCACTTTTGGTTTCGGTTTGGTTGGTTGTTAGAATGTTTTGCTTGCTTCATATATATATAATATTATAATTATGCTATATATTATATTTAACTTCTAGGCATTTTTATGCATGAAATACAGCTAGAAGTGTAATATAGGTTTTTTTCGGGGTTAGGAATGAATGATTCCATTTTATATTGTTTCTTATGAGAAAATTTGTTTTGGTTGAAACTCGAAAAATTCATTATATCTCTTCTTTTATAAATCTGAGTCTAATGGGCGATTGGCCAATGCTTTACAAACTCAATTCTCACCTGAACTTCAGAACCATTTCGAGTAACAGGCCATAGAAATTGTAAGAAACTCAATCAAATTAAATACTTTTATTTTGGAATCTTTTTGTACGCCCTTGTGTCTGCCATTGCTTTTTCCTAACGTCTCCATTCTATCGCGTCATTCTGACAGAAGCATGAGAGCAGCGAGGAAACCTGCTTTTAAATTTGTAGTGCGTTTAACTGAAAATTCGTGAAGTATGCGGTCACGAACTTACTTAGAAGAAATCAGCGTGAGATGAATTCAGCACAAAAATTTAAATATCTGTATTACAAGATAGTCATGTCAACATGAGTAGTAGTGATTTGACACATCCTGATCACAAAATTAATTTCATGAGTAAATTTCAAATAAAAGTTTGTTGAATGGAATTATTTCAGATCACAAAATTAATTTTTTGAATAAATTACTATCGAATAAATTAAAATTGCAAATAAAAATTTGTTGAATGGAATTATTTCAGATCACAAATCTTAATTTTATTTTAACAATAAGGTTATATTAATTATTAAATTTTAAATTAAATTAATTTTATTTTAACAATAAGACTGTATTAATTATTAAATTTAAATTTTATATTATTTTAACAATAAGTTTAATTATTAAAATGTTTTTATAACTTTGAATTAATACAGTATATTCTTTCTAATTATTATAAAATTAATTTGCAATAATTTCAGATAAAAAATTTCTTGAATAAATTAAGATAATAAATATTTATAAAACTTTCAATTCATTTTCATAAAATATCTTGTAACAATAAGACAAAGTTTCTGTATTATATCGAATAAAATTAAAACCCAATAATTGTATGAAATAATATAACACCAAAACAAAATTATTTTTGAATTTTATTTTTTTATTTTTACATTAATAGATTAAATTAGTTTATTATATTTAAGCTTTTTCCAGTTTTCTCATTCACTTTATCTAAAACATGGCACATTTCTGCTAATAAGTGGAGTAATAAGTTCTGGTGATTGTTTACAATATATTCCCGGTCTATTTTCTGATATTTTAAAATGTAACACCATGAAAGTTCATTTTGGAAGTCATCAATAAATTGCTGGTCAAGTATTTGGTAACGAGAAACATAATTCCAGTTTAGATAATCTTTTAATACGCGTAAAGTCATAGTTTTTAATCGTTGGTATTTTAAAATTTTTTTAATATCAAACTTATGTATGTATCGCCTAATAAAATTATCTGAAAGAATTTGAAATTCTGCGACTTTATTCCAATCAAGATATTGTGAAAAGTTGGTTAAGAATGATTCGTCTAACACCTGATACTCGCAAATTAAATCCCATTTTGCATATTTAATATGTTTTTCAATAAATGAAGTAGCGAATATATAGTTTTTCCATAGGATTTCCCAATTTAACTTATCAGCAAATTCGGAAATGAATGTGAGAGATAAATCGTTTCGTCGACTGATGATATCCCAGTCAATATAATTTCTTAAATGACGAATATTATTCTCTTCTAATGATGAAAATGAAAAATTCCCCCAATCAATTAGCAGTTGAGTATTGTCTATAAAGAAACAAAATTGTTGTTTTTGTTAGGATACATTATTCATATTAATAACATTTTATTATATGGATATCATAATAGAATACATTATTATTCAAATTGAATATATATGTGAATGGATAAACATTATTTAAATTGAGTACATATATTAACAGATACAAAATTATTTATTACATTTCATACAAT